CATTCTATGTGGAATGTTCAATTCTTAAGGGTAATGTTATAAATTTATAATGCATTAATATATAGCCAGCTATTGTTTTTCATAGTAAAATAAAAGCAATCAAAATGTAGTGGGCATACTCGCCTTGGCCAGTTTGGCTCAGTTGGCTGAATGTGGTCCCATGCACGGAGAGAGGTCACTGGTTCCATTTCCAGTTGGGGCAAATGCCCCGGGGCATGCCAGAGGCAGTTGATCAATGTTTTTCTCTCTCATCAATGTTTCTCTCTACTTTTCCCTTCTACTCTCTCTAAAATCAATAAAAACACGTTTTTAAAAATATAGTGGACATCCCCAAACTTAAACTGCAATTAGTGTCTCATTCTTCATAAATACTTTGCTTAGTTGGAAGTTTTTGAATGATTAAATTGTTTTGTTCTATTTACTGTCTGTAAAATTGGCTGTCATAGAGCCCATTTTACTTATAGTCATCTAGATATTTCAAACTTAGCATGTCCAAAAATGTCCTATTGATCCTTCCTCCTAAAATTGTTTTACTATGTGTCAGTTGATGACAATTCCATCCTTCCAGTTGTTCAGGACAAAGGTCTCAGAGTCATCTCTGACTCCTCGCTTTTTCTCTCATACATCACATCTAATCTACCAAGAAATCTACTTTTGAAATCTACCTGGAATCCAACCAGCTCATTATTTCCTTCTAAACACCATTATCTCCTGCCTGAGTTTTCACAATAACCTAACTCTTCTACTTCTCCCCGCCCCCTAAATTCTCAACACAGTGGCCAGGGTGAGGCCATGGAATTTATGTCATATGTCACCCCTGTGGTCAGGACTCTGCAGCGACTTCTCATTTCACGCATTTCAAAATCCGTAGAAGGTTGTACTTTATCAGGCCCTGCCTCTGATCTCAATACCTGCTCTTGTGTGCCTGCTCCTTTGGGTCCAGGTACATTGGCCTCCGTCCATGTCTAGCTTTTGCTCTGCATGATGGAAACTCTTCTGCAAATGAGCCCCTCAGCTTCATCAAGTCTCAGTCCAGTCAGAATTTCTTAGAGAGGCCCGCTTTGCACACCCTACTCAATACTGCAATCTGCCCTTCCCTCCTCCCCCACTTCCTGCACCCCAGATCCCTTCTATCTTATTCTTTTAACTCCCGCCCCCCCCATTTTCTCTTAGCACTTATCACCTTCTGATACATGGTTTACTTGCTATAGTTTTTGTTTTTCCTTTTTTTTTATTAATATAATAAAGCGCATAGAACTTGATAGGTATTCAATAAATATTTGTTGAATTAATGAAAAAGTAAACTTAAAAAACAAAACAAAATAAAAAACAACCCTTAACAGCCTGGGTGGGTAGCTCGGTTGGTTAGAGCATCATACGGATACGCCAAGGTTGCGGGTTCGATCCCCAGTCAGGGCACATACGAGGGTCAACCAATGAGAGCTTTTAAATAACTGGAGCAAATCGATGTTTCTCTCCCTTTCTCTCTCTGTTTCTCTCTCTCTCAATTCAGTCAATAAATGTTTTTTTAAAATCCTATAGTATAGATGTGTAAGATTTCTCATTGGAGATGTCGAGTTCTTTTTTTTTTTAAATCCTCACCTGAGGATATTTGTTTTCAATTGCTTTTCAGAGAGAGTGGAAAGGGAGGAGGGGAGAGAGAGAGAGAGAGAGAAACATCGATGTGAGAGAGACACATTGATCGGTTACCTCCTGCACCCAACCCTACCCAGGGTGGGGATCCAGCCTGTAACTGAGGCACATGCCCTTGGCCGGAATTGAACTTGGGGCCCTTTAGTCCTCAGGCCGGCACTGTAACCACTGAGCTGAACTGGCTAGGGCAGAAATATAGAGTTCTTAATGGTTATATTAATTTAGATTTACTTTCAAAATGTATGAGACTTCACATTGCTTCATATTCTCACTGACACTTGGTATTATTGTCACATTTAAAATGTTTGGTTACTCTGATGGGGTTGAAGTGGTATCATATTGTGGACTTAATTTGCGTCTCTCTGATTATTAGTGTGGTGGAACACTGTTTTTCCTGTTCACATCCTTTGGGCTACCGGAGAAAGAAGTAGTAAGTTGAGTTTTAGTTATAATGAACTGGAGGTGCTGATAGGACACCTAGGAGATGTTCAGAAAACATTTCAAAATGTTTACACCCTCCAAAGTGTAAAAAAAAAGATCAGAAATAGTGAGAGAGAGAGGGACAGAGAGAGGAATCATTTTCACTTTTAAAAAAATTAAATTTATTGGGGTGATATTGGTCAATAGGATCATTTTCACTTTTTAGCTATATCTTTCGAGAAAAGTATGTATTATTTTCTTCTAAGACAGTGTTTTTGACACTCAGCCATTCATGTATCATCTTGAGATTTTTGTAGCATTTGTGCTCTTTTTTAAAAAAAATTATTTTAATTCTCACCAGAGGATATGTTTTTTATTGATTTTTTAGAGAGAGAGGAAGAGGGAGAGAGAGAAAAAGAGAGAAACATCGATGTGAGAAAGAAACATCGATCGGTTGCCCCCGCTGTATGCGCCCCGACTGGGGATTGAACCCGTAGCCTTTGGCGTATGGGACGACACTCCAACCAACTGAGCCATCCAGCCAGGGCAGCATTTGTGCTCTTTTATTTAATATATGTATACTTACTGATTTACTGTACATTTGTGTCATCTCTCTTGCTAAAATAGATGCCTCTTCTGTGCTCCTAACGTAGCTCTGTACCCAATGCCCACCTTTGTCAATATCATTAACCTGTATCCGCTCGAGACTATGAGCCCCTTGATGACACAATTAATTAGTTCCCTCATGCATTCCACAAATGTGCCACAAGCACTGTGCACTGGAAACGTAGTTGTGATCAAAACGGACGTGTTCCTACCCTTACAGAGCTCCAGCCTCGTGGAGGAGAAAGCTTTACATCTGTAATGTATTTAATACTTGATTGCTGCTCTATTATTTAATACTACTTACTACTAATAATTATAAGCACTTTGGGGGAAAGTACACATTGTTATGAAACAGTTTAAGAGATAGACATCATTGAGATGGCAAAGGTCGCTGGAGTCATCTCTGAGGACCTGACTGGCTGCTACTTACTATTTTACTTGAAACTTTCAAGCATCTAACAGTGTCTGGCACGTGATAAATAAGAAACATTTGCTGAGTAAACGCTAGGTTAGGATGAGTTATTTTATAATAATCTTTGCAAACAGAATTATAAAGAGCATATTTACTTCCTTCTTTGAATATTCTAGTTCTGAGTGTTGAACTCCTAATGTTAATACTATTTTTTTTTGTTGGGGTATTGCCCTGGTTTACTGTCTTGGTATGTATGGATTCCTTACAGGAAAATTTTCCTTAAGGTTAACAAATATCACACTTATATAAGCCTCCTCCTTCCCAATAGATACTATATTAACCCCTCCCCCAAGCATGTCTTGGAAAATAATATCACTTTTATAAGTAGAAGCATGTCGTTTTTCCATTGGGATTTTCTTCTCATTTGTGTTGGAAGGGAACGAGATGAATTGTTACACTTGTAGCTCATTGTGATATACATTTTATGTTTCTACTCTGTATGAATTGATAACTGGCACAGAAATGATAAGATCTAGGCCCATGAGCATCAGGCAACCAGTTGTCAACTGAGTTTGTAAAAGAGATGCCATGACTGAAAACTAGGGTAACCAGCTCGGGGAAAATGAGGCATGTCATTAGACAGAGACTTTATTCCCCAGCCTTCTTCCAGAAGTTAGGAAAAAGGTTTGTTTTTTAAATCCTCATCCAAGGGTATGTTTCCATTGATGTTTAGAGAGAGAGAGGGAAACATCGATACGAGAGAGAAACATCAATTGGTTGCCTCCCATAAGCGCCCTGACCGGGGACTTAACCCGCAACCTAGGTATGTGCTCTGATCAGGAATCAAACCTACGACCTTTTGGTGTTTGGGATGACACTCCAACCAACTGAGCTACCTGGCCAGGGCAGGAGAAAGTTGTTTGTTTGTTTGTTTGTTTGTTTAAAGGATATGATTGTATTTGATTTGTTAAAATCAGTTAAAGAAAAGCATATATATGTTATAATCTTTTATCCAGAATGTGAACTAAGCTCTTATGGATTATTACATTTTCTTATCTACAGAGTTTCTCATCTGTTAGGGGAATATCTGTAGATATTAGTATTTCAGGAAATGACCTATTTCTATTCTTTTAATTAAGTGAAAGTCTTATTATAAGCAGAAAATTTATGGTAAAATGATGCAAGCCAGCTACTAATGTAGCAGACAATAATAGCAGAACTTCTATATCCCCCTTTTGCTGGATTTATGATGAGGGGCAATGCTGATAATGGAAGGGGCCAGCTTCTGGATCCTGGTCATAAAATCAGATTAGCCTTGTTACCCCAGGCCTACCACTTAACCTCTCTAAGCCTCATGGAGCTGAGAGATGAATAATGTAAATAATTTTTATCTAAGATCAAATGAGATAAGGTGCTTTTGTTAATTGGGAAGATGCTGTAGTCAAGCAGCATTACTGTAGTTTGTTTTGTTGCCTTTTACGTTCGGCTTACTAAGTCTGTGTTCTGGTAGATCTGTTATTCACTCTGTTATTAAAAATGTGTTTTGTAACAAGCAGTATATCTCCAGGAATTAGTTTCTTTTCTCTGACTACATAAGTAACTGCTCTGTTATCTCTAATAGTGTTAGAGTGGCGCAGCAGCCCTGTGTAGGCCCCTAAGTGTTTAATAATACCATGTTTAATGTGACCTAAAATTAAAAGAACCACTTGAATCTTGGAGATGAAATTTCCACAGGACACAGAGCAAATGTCCAAGATAGATAAAGGCCCCTTGGTTAAGTGTTAATACAGAGCTGACAAACTCTTTATAAGAGTTTGATAATGCTGAAGGTTTATATACCCAGGACACCAGATTTTTTTGTTTTGTCTTGTTAAGGAAATACTGAATGCTATTAATTCTTTTTCCACAGTGCCTCCAAAGCCATTACATCTGCAGAATTCACCTTTGTCCAGTATACACCAAACCCCTAAGCATAAAGCTTTATCTAGTGCAGCACCCAGGATGGAGGAAGTTAAACCTGTCTCTGCTTCTTGTGTCTCAAAAGAAAAATCCAGTAAAATATCAGATCTCATCAGTCGCTTTGAAGGAGGCAGGTAAGAGCTCGTTTACAATGGGAGAAGGCAAAGGGGAGACAAAAGCTGAGTTCTGAAAAAAATGATAGGGCCATAAGTTTTCCAGATCAAACATACATCTTCTTCCATTGGCTTTGGTAGGCCTTTAGAAAGAGTGAATTTTAAAAGTATTTAATCTTGCCCTAATATAAATTGTCATTTACTGTTCATTGTCTATGTGCAGCTCTTATGTCACCAGCTTCTTCGTCACATTGTGTGCTGTGTAGATCTATAGATACGCTCTCTCACTTCCTCTGTACCTGTGTGCGTCCTTGGGGTCACTGTCTTGGTCCCTGGATATATATCTGGGTTGGAAAGGCAGGAGATTGGCTCTGTCTCTGTTTCTCGCTTTGTATGTTTCTGAATGTGACTGCAGGGGGCCTGTTCCATCTCTGTGGGCTTCTTTCTGACCCACTTTATTTAATGTGGGTCTTCTATATCCGTCAGGTATATGTTTCCCCTCTCTCCACACCCCTGCTCTATATACTAGGCGTTGTGAAGAGATATTGGCAATAACAAAATTCAGGCTAAGTTTCAGTCTTGCACTTATTAGATATAGTTTTATATTTTTTAATCCTAATGTTTCAAAAAAGATAGGTGAGATAATGTATATTTCTCTCTTAAAGATAAAAACAAATTCACATAAGTTGCTTTTCTACTTACATGATTCTCAATTGTTTTTTTCTTAGAATTCCCATCATTGAAAAAATAGAATTTTTGAAAATTTTTATGAGAAGCATTTTTTAAAAAATTAAAAAAAAAAAAAAATATATATATATATATCTTTATTGATTTCAGAGAGAGGAAGAGAGGAAAAAGAGATAGAAACATCAATGATGAGAAAGTTGTCATTGATCGGCTGCCTCCTGCATGCACCTGACTGGGGATCTAGCCCGCAACCTGGGCATGTGCCCTGACTGGGAATAGAGCCTCGATCTCCTGGATCCTAGGTCAATGCTCAACCGCTGAGCCACGCCTGGCCGGGTGCATTTTATTATTTTTATGTCACCCAAAAGTCTGTATATAATTTAACAATATATATAAATTTACTCCCATCCTTGAAGTTACCTATTTCCATTAATTCCAGTGTAATATGTAGGAGTGGTTTCCCATTAGGTGGTTTTATTATTTGCAGGATTTATTGTTAGGTATGTAATGAATCAAAGCTTGGAAATACTTTCAAAATCTTCTGGAAATTGTGACCAAGTACAGAACTGCAGTGTCCCTCACTTAAAATGAGACTATGTTAAGTAACAAGTTCTGGAGGAAATTAGTTCATAAGTCTGTCTTTAATTTTCATTCACAATCAATTGTGGGAACATGAGTCATGAATATTTAAGTTTCAACATCTCCCCCTCTGAAGAAGGATTTTTAATAGCTTTGTTATCTTAAATTATAGTAATCTTTACTAGAATGATCTAATTCCACTTAAAAAATTTTTGTTTCTCAGGACAAGTTTATTTAATCGCACAGAGAGCGACCCCTTATATTTTCAGGTTTCCAGGGCCATGTCCATGACTGTATAATATAATGAGGCCTGGCCCCCTGGCCCATTCATAGTAAATGCCAGAACCTGAATCCCCTGCGTGGGTCAGTATTCCAAAGATTGAGCCCTCTAAACTTCACAAATCTGATAACCCACTGTTTGCATTCCTCTCCATGCATGAAAGGTACATAGTTTTCCCACTTAGTGATGCTAATTTTCTTTTACTCTTTCAAACTTCACAGATTCAAAGTCACATTTTGATGCAAAGCTTAAAGGTTGGATCTAAGGAGAGATGTGCTGTAATTGATGACATTTAAAAAAAATTTGTTGTAGGTGAAGCTAGGATGCCACGTGAGCATTTTGGCAAATCTGGTGAAGGACTGTTACTTGTGGCCAAGTCCACCACCAATATGAAAAATAACTATATGTTCTTAGTGAGGTGTTATCAGTAGAAACTGACCCAAAATGTCTGAAGGGGTTAGTATTGCATTGGGTCTATGGGGCTTGAATGGGAACTTTATATTTCCTGCTGAGTGATGTCCATGTGCCTGCAATATAGCTCTCAAGTTATACCCCAGTTGTTATAGCTTAAACCAGCACTTTGTGGACTAGAGGGAGATGTGGCAGGCTATGAGTTCCCACACTAGATGGACAAGAAGAACCAATGTCTATTATATTGGGGTCATAGAAGACCATATTGTACTTGTTGAGACCTTACTCATGTGGCGTAGTTTCACTCTTTGCAATAATCTAGGTAACTCTGTTTTATTAAGATGAGTGACTTAGAGGATATACTTGAAGCAAGTGAAATTTTATTTTTTACTGTGGTTTATCTTTTTTTTTTTTTTTGAGAGAGAGTAAGAGAAACTAGTCTTTTTAACCTATAAAAGACTTCAGGATTTTAGAAATAAATAACATTTTCCCACAAAACCAAACATTGTTTTTTTTTTTCAAGGACACAGCTAAGTCAACTGTTTCACTCCAAAGCAGCAGGAATCTCGTACGTACAGGTTCAACCACTGCTTTTGCTAATCTGCCCCCCCCACCTCATCCCCTACCCCATTCCCCCCATATTTCCCCTGGATGTCACTTATTACAGGAAATTCCTGCCTGTCATCCAAAGCAGTCCTTTCCAGAAATCCTAAGCAAGCCCAACATTTGTTACAGTGGATCTACTGAGGGCCTTTCCAATGGGTTGCTGGTTGCTGTTATGGATGGCCAGACAAAGGAGGACAGTTTAATTCAGTTCTCCAAGGACTGTTTGGGAGATTATCTAGGCCAAAGGTATATTGTTGTAGAAGGCAACTATCATTGATGGAGTGTGTCACCTTTATTTATTTTGATGACCTCCAACTTTTACATATATGACATTTTCTCCTACCAATTTTTTTTTACCCCTGTGGCGCTGTACTTGACCATGTCTTTTTCCCTCCCTTATTACTTTCCTGCTGTCAGTTGCTATTCCCTGTTCCATTCTCCAGTCCAGATCAGCAGTATCTGGGAGGAGGGGAGTGAGGGGAGATGGTGGTGACACATATCCCAGCATTGTCCATGGCCCTTGGTGCTGTGCCTCCCCCCACCTCCCTTTACCCTATGACCCCTCCCTGCACTAAGGAGGCTGGGAGTCCTGGGCTGTCTTCCCGTATTTGTATGTAGCCTACTCACCTCTTCCTCACTCCCTCCTTCATGGTCCAGTATATTTATTATAATGTGAGGTTAAGACCGTGGGATTTGGTATTAGACTTCATGGTTTGAACTCTGGCTTTATCATTTGTTAGCCATGCGACATTGCCACATTATGTAAGTTTCAAAGCCTGGATTTAAGGGGTCCCTATTTTGGAAATATTATGAAGATAAAACAAGATACCCATTGTGAAGGGCTTGGTGTAGGCTCTGGCACTTAATAAATGTTAGCTGCTAATATTGAATGAGTGCCATGATCTTCATCACAACCCCAGTTATTTATTACTCATCGAGTATTTACTGAGCACTTTCCATATGGCTGAGAAGTGGGGATAAAGCAGAGAACAAGACAGGGACGTTCTGTACCCTCACAGAGTATTAGCCTAAATTTGTCTTTGTTCCTCCTTAGGTCGTAGGAATCTCTCCAAGACTGCAGCCCAGAATTTTTCCACCCTGGAATCCTAGATTAAAATGCTATACAAATATTTCCGTAGGAACATTGTAATATATCGGCAGTTAGGTTCCATCATACTATTGTGGTTCTCAATGATGTCAAGTAATAATAAGGGCTTTAAAAAGATGAAGATAAGATGTGTAATTTGTGGTGGAGTGTGCTGTAATAGAGAGAACAATCCAGGAGGTGACATCTGAGCAGAAACCCACATGATGGGCAGGAGTAAGCCACACCAATGTCTTGGGGAAGGTTGTCCTGAGCAGAGAACAGCAGCACAAAGATCCTTAGATGCGTGTGTGTGCTTATTGGGAGTCAGGGGACAGCAAGGAGGCAGGCATGACAAGAGCACTGGGAGTGAGGAGGAATGGAGTTCAGTGACACCAAGGCTAGCAGAGCACATAGAATCCCGCGGGCCATGGACAGGATGCCAGATTTACCTTTGAGCTTGTGGAGTAGCTCACATAGAGCTTGATCTCTGTGACCAACTTGGAGAGACTAGATTAGAGGGGATCAGGTGTGGGAGCAGAGAGATCAGTAAGGAGGCTACGATAGCATGTGTGATAAAGTTCCTGGGAGTGTGTGTTCTACTTTCCTAACAAAAGTGATTTTTGGTTTCCAACCTGTCCGCATATTAAGAGTTGACTGTATTTGTTTTTAAATGTTAAGAAAGTAAAAATCTTGGTAAAGGATGGTTTTATGAAATATAAATATTTCTCATCTTGAAGTCTGTATACTAACTAGCAATATTGATAAACAGCCCAAGGAAACGTTTCAGACCTTATGAAGTTCAGGCCTAGCGTCTTTACTTAAATGTTTCTCTAAGTGTGACTAGCATTGCAAGATATTGAAAACTACACTGAAATATTCTTATCTGTGTTTCTCAAACCATCAGAGTGCGGAAATGTCTTCGCTCGATATCCGTTAGAATAAACTTGGTTTTATTCTAGAGCTTGCCCATGCCAGTGTTTTCACACTTCCTCTGTATTTTACCCTTTAGCGCATTATCAAGTTACGGCGATGTGAAGAAGAATTCAGCTATGAACCTAAATGCTCCTAGGACCCCGGGAAGGTATGGATTGACAACCACACCTCAGCAAAAACTGTCCGCCCAGCACCCACCACAGAAGCCGGGAAATGCTCCAGGTCCAACTCAGGGAGTACAGACTTGTGTTGCTAACGGTGTAATGGAGGCACAACACCAGGTGGAGTGCGTGGAGGAAAACATGGCCACTGTTAGCCCAGATACTCCTATTCAAACTGCTGAACCCTTGCCTGATACGACCTTAGTGAATGGAGCGGGAGACGAAAGTACTGCGGGCCCCACCTCACCCACAACAAATGACTCTGATGAAAATGCTTCTGACAGTAGCTGCAGGACTCTGAGTGTGGACCCAGCCCTCCCCCTGGAAGAAGGAAGGGCAGACACAGAAGCCGAGGCCCGGGAGAGGGAAAATGGAGAAAGCCCTCTGGAACTAGAACAGCTGGACCAGCCCCAGGAGATGAAGGTAAAGTGTGAGACCAGCTCATAAGTAGGAGGGAGCCCTCATCGCCCCACTACTGTTTTAAAACTGTTTCATAGCACCCATGATATGAATGAGTTAGATCACCCTGGCCACCAGTTCAACAGTTTTCTAGCTCTAGCTGCTAATGGGTGTTTTCCCTACTCTCTGTAGCTTCTGTTGATCTATTGTGATTACAAGAGTCAGAATAGTGTGAAGACTGATACAGGAAAACCATAAACATCACTTTTATTTACAAAGGAAAAAAATGTTCTTTGTCACTCTAGGTGTTAGAGCTACATCCATAATATTTATGTTCTAAGTGAGAGGAAATTGTATAATCTTTGCTTTTCAGACATTTCTAATCTAGTAAAAGAAATAGACTTGGATGATTAACTTGTACTAGCAAATGTTTCTGGTAAGGACATGAAAATGGAAGTAGTCACAAATTACTCAATAGCTATCTGTAACTCTTTCCAGGTTTCTAATTTTTTTAAAAAAATTCTAATTAATACACAATTTTATAATTAGAAGGCTCTTTAAAAACCACCTTAGCAAGCAATTCATTTATAGAAGCAAAAACAGTCCTGGAAAGCTGGAGTGATTTTCTGGAGTTACAATAATAGCCGAGACCCCTTGTGTCCTGATTCCCAGGCCAGTATTATATCCCTGATGCCAGAGTTCACAAACATAAATACCAAACTGTAGAAAATGTCAATGAATGCAGCAGCCATGAGTGATATACTAGAGGGAGGCGAGACTGCAGCAAACTGGAAGTTGATATCCTTTCTAAAGAGGGCAGCAGTCCAATGAACCACCTGAATGGCATTTCTGCCCATGTGCTAACGAAGAACTGATTTGTGGGTGAAGTATGGTCATAATTTACCTGTGCTCCATCAGAAACTCTGATACAATTGTAGTGATAAGACCTCTGTGTTTATGTTCTTTAACCATGTCAGTATAATGCTTTGGAAATATTAATAAATAATGGCTTTTACAAAGTACTTGGGATTTCCTGGATCAAAGGTACAATGTAAGGATCGTTATAGACCCTGGAACAGAAAGTTGTTTACATCTCTGAAGACAAGAAAAACGTTTCCACTGCTTAGTCTCTTATCAATTTTAAATGACAGTCTGTGTAGGAGAGTTGAGAGTTGAAAATTTGATAACTATGGGAAAATGTGTAAGTGAAAAATCCAAGTCCTAAATCTATGTACTTTTTGTTTATGGTGCTGTGTCTTTTTTTTTTAAATATGTTTTTATTCATTTCAGAGAGAGGAAGAGAGAGAGGGAGGGGAGAGAGAGAAACACCAATGTTGAGGAAGTCATTGATTAGCTACCTCCTGGGGATTGGGCCTGCAACCTGGGCCTGTGCCCTGACTGGGAATCAAACCATGGTCTCCTGGTTCATGGGTCAACACTCAACCACTGCGCCACACCAGCCAGCTATGGTGCTGTGTCTTAACTGGCATTAACATAGGCAGAAATTCAAAAGGACTGATAGCTAGTAAATATTAGAGTAAAGCGTGAATGGTTGATGTATTTAGAACTTTAAAGTGAAATACACCTTATGGTACAATTTTCACTGCCCCTGAAAAAAAAGAAAATTCCAAAAAAGAGCCTCTGGTTTGTTTTCTTGAGGTTAGGGAATTGGTTTTAAATGCTGACTTTCAAGCAGGGAAAGCTCAAAGAAGGAAGTGCGGGGGGGTGGGGGGTGGTGAGTCACACTTGGTAACATCATTAGAGAAACAGGACATTGCAAAGTGAATATCTTAACATCTTGACAGAGTGTGAGTGTCTCTCTGCTTGAACCATGGTGAACGGAAAAGGTTAGAACCAAGAAGCTCAGAACTCAGACATCTGTCCTTAGCGCTGGGATGATGCCACCAGCAACTATTTATAAAACAGTAAGAGCCATTCTTATTAAGGGAAATATTTTAGTTGGTAATGATGCCTGTGGTTGCTGGGTACTACTTTTCCCCCCCTCTGTCATATATTATTGTGTATCTATTTTCAGAGATAAGTCGTATGTGGTTTGGGAGAGACTTAATAGGGCTTTGCTATTAAACTAGTGAAATCTAGAATAGTACAGCTGGCCTTTCTCCTAAATGGGAGTTTAAGTAGTGGATGGCATGTGCTACATGTGGGAAGAAAAGAATTTCTTTTTCTCTGCAGAGCTGTTGATCTGAACACCACATGGGTCTCCCATCTGAAAAGGAGCATTAGGATTTAACTTCCACATGGTAACCATGTGTTCTCCTTTGCTGCTCTGACGCTTGTTGCATTGCCTTTCCTTGTTCCAAAATGCAAGTGTTAAGGTGGTAAATTTTATATTATGTAACATTTTACCACAATTAAACATAAAAAAGAAATCTTTAAAAAAAATGAAAAATTTAACAGTATATAGTGAACCAAACAGTTGGAACCAGGAAATTTTAATGCTGCTTCTGGCTTGTCCACTAACTAACAAACAGTATGAACTTCAACAAGTCAGTTCTTTGTGCCTTTAGTTAAAGGATATAAACTGAATATGATTATAAGGCCCTTTTCAGTGATAACGGCATAATTCTCTGCTGTTATATGTAGGTATGTTCCTTTGTTAGCACAGCCCGGACTCCAGATCATCAGCTGCTTCTTAAACCGTTTGATGTGTTGAACTTCTAAGACATAATGGAATATTTGAGTTTCACTATGCAGACAGCTGAAAAAAAAATTTTCAGTCTTTATGTAACTCGACAAAGAGATGTACATCAGAATAGCCTTAAATAAGTTTTATTCATCCCTGAATTAAATTTAATGAACACTTCCCAAGTGCCCACCAGGAGTGGGAGAAGGAGGGGTTGGGGGCTGGAAGGTAGGAGTAGAATAGAATCACAAAGATAGTTCATGAACGTAGATACATATTAAAATGCATCTTGAACAATCATTATTAATCATTGAGACCTGACTTGAAAATAGTCTTAGCTTATGTAACTGTTTCATTAATTATCTCATGTATTTTGATCAAGAATCACTTTCAGTGGTGAATAGAGCATACTGTTCTTTTTACTTTGTAAAGATAAAGAATACCTACCTTATTGAAACTGTTGACTCCACCATAAACAGATTTTAAAAAAACCTTAGAGTCAAAGGAAAATTGTTAACACTTTGTGATACCTTTATCTCTTATCCACAAAGTGTTACAGTATCTTTAAATTAAGGTTAATCATGTATTACAGCAGATTAAAAAAGATTGAGATCTACTGAAGGGGAGATGTTGTTATAAGGAAACATTAAAACCCCTAAGTTCCAGGGAAGTTAGAGGCAAAGGAATATCGTGTGCACACGTGTGCTGCTTGCACAGGCATGCTTACTTGAGGAGACTGGCGGGGAGCGGGGCCTTGTAATAGTATTAGAATTTTCTGTTTGGCATGACAAATTTGGGTTATCATAAATATCTTAAATTATATTAGGAGACTCAGGTAAATGAGTCAGTACATTTTGGAATAAATGTCGTGAAAAATGGTCACCTTTTCTCAGATTTGTAGGCTTTGGTGGGTAAGTTTTAGTAGATGTGCACTGATGTGGAATGCTGCATTCATGGAATATGCCATTTAAATGTAAATGTCTCTTTAGTTTGCATGAGCCTTTTTTAAAATCCTCACCCGAGGATATCTTTATTTTTTTTTAGGGGGGGGAGGGTGAGAGAGAGAGAGATTGAGAGAGACAGAGAGAGAAAGAAACATCAAGGGGTTGCCTCCCACGTGCGCCCTGACTGGGGATCAAACCCACAACCTAGGTATGTGCCCTGGCTAGAATCAAACCCGCAACCTTTTGGTGCACAGGATGACACTCCAACCAACTGAGCCACCTGGCCAGGGCTCATGAGCCTTTTAATATCCAGAGACATACTTTAATGTGTTATACTGGTAGATTTTTCTGAGATTTATTGTTTTCCTCTATAATTTCAAATATAAATGTGTGTAGATATAAGCTTTTTAAGACTAAAGCTTAAATAAATAACAAATCTCTGTTAGCAGTAACATAAGCTCAAAGTAGCAATGTATTAAACCTCTAATAATACCAGTTTTATCAAGACTATAAGAGAAACAGTTTTTTTTTTTAAGTCAGAATAATATTATTATGTAGAGTTAAAATATCCACAGGGATGATTTCCTACCTCATAAAATGTAGTATCAAAATAGATTTATATATTTTCCTCAATATAAGTAACCTCACGCCCCCAAAGTCTCTGATTTTTTTGCCTTTTTGTCTTTCTCCACT